ATAAGTTCATACGCTTATTTATTTACTTCCAAGCAAATTCAGAAACTTAATCTTCTACTCATAATAATTTTACAAATATTATTTCTATTATTACCAATCTCTTCAATATCTAATTCATTTGAAATGATCAAATCTAACTTTATTAATGATACTTATCCATTTGTTTAATAGTGATAATCTTCATGAATACTAAAACATCAATTATATCCTCTCTTTCTCTCCCTCACTCTCTGTCGATCTCTATCTCGATCCCTATCTCTATCTCTCTCTAGTTTTACTTTTATCTATCCCATATACAAAAAAGAATGATTTCAGTTGCTACAAATCATTCATTCACAATAGTTTATATCTTTAATTATTTTAGTTTATAAATTGTGCATTTATTTTAATTAATGAAAAAAAAAGAAAATTAAAACAATTTAATTGACATAATTGTAGAAATATAGTTTTATTTAAATGTATAAATTAAATATCTCAATTCATTTTGAATTTTAAATTTTTTAAAAAAAAAATAACACAATTTGTACGACAATATCGATATATCACGTCATACATTATGTGTATAGTTTGTTTAAATGAATAACAACAACAACGACGACGACATCAACAACCACAACAACAACGACAAGAACAACAACCAAAAAAAAATCAAAATGAGAACATTTTATACATCTGACAAAATTAAAATGTGTTCATTCAATTTTTGACAGTTGATCTAAGAGAAAAATAAAACGAAAAAGTTGTTTCTTTTTTCTAGAAAAAAAAACTATATATTCACACAAAGAAGAAATTCTTCTTTTCTTTTTTACTTCTTTTTAAAAAATTTATTCATCATGGTGAAATAACTAATTTGGATGAAAAAAAATAAACAAACAAACACTTTCAAACTGTTTTATTCTATTTATGTTGGGAATGTTAGATCCCCAGAACTCATTTGGGAAAGGACGTAATTTTGTAATTTTATCTGGGAAATTTGAATTTCTTTGTTTTCACGCCAAAGGCGCTCTTGTCACCTTCATGTCGTATTTCCTACTGGGAAATATCTTAAATGCTATTGGTCCGTTGCTTCTTTTAGTATGCTATTTGGTAGCTCCCCCAAGGACGGTTTTGTACTGTGTATATGGGTTTTGAATTGTGTTTGTTGTTATCATTCGTTTCTGACTGTTGTGCAGAATATACTTTGCATTCTAAACTTGGATTTCTCCCTCTAGTTAGCGGGGTTGGGACGCATTAAATAGCTAGCTTACTAGTCTTTGGTCACCGAGTCTTGTTTCTCGTTCGCAGATTAAGTGAACTCGTGATAGCTTCAAACCTAGCAATTTACTTTTATAGACATATACAAATGTTTTGAATATACTTGTAAATGTTTTCTTTTTATTATGAAATTTACCTTTTATTTTTAATTTCTTAAATGTTCATTTATTTTTTTATTGAACATGTTATTTATTAGTTGACACATTCATTTTGTTTTGTTTTAAATGATTATTTAGATTGTTGTATTTTGTGTAGTATTTATAAAATATTTATTGTACATATTATAGTGAATAAGAACATAAATTGGGATAATCGAATGTTTTTCGGCACAAAATTACAGAATATTTTAATACATACTACTTGTATATATCAATATCAGTAGCACACACTGTAGTACAAAAATATTTTTAAACAAAATAAACTTCCTTACGCCTGTTACTCCTCGTGAAGGAGCATAGGCCGCTCACCAACATTCGCCATCCAACCCTGTCCTCGCCAATCCTTTCCAGCTCCTTCCAGTTCCTATACATCCTTTTCATATCTGCTTCTATTTCTCGACGTAATGTGTTCTTTGGCTTTTCTCTTTTCCACTTCCCTTCAGAATTTCAAGTTAGGGCTTTCCTGTCGCTCTTCTAGACTTACCGCCGGTCCCAAGCTCGGGTAATGGAGGAGGGTTGGGCAAAGGGTTAGCGACCCCATCCCGTAGAAAACTAACTCGCTACAAAAACGATAACCAGATGCATTTGCAATTTTTAAAAAATGACTAATTCAAATTATAGGCATCACAATTTCAGTGCAGTTCGATTATACACTGACTGTAGAGCTACTCAAATATAAAGAAAGCACTAGATAGTTATCAAAAAAAAACTTTTAAAAGGGAAAGAGAGGATCTATAAATTAAGTTTTTGGTATCTCATATTATGTCCCTTTCGAAAAAAAACTTTAGTGCTTAACAAAATAACCATATGCTTTCTCATTAGTTTTATTTATTTCTAGTGTGAAAGTTTTTTTCACCGAATTTTCTGACTACTATAGCTTTTCATGTTACTGTAATTAGACAAACAAGTTCTTAAAAGGAAATGAAAGTCAGAGTAATCAGCAACAGTGAATTTATGTCTGTAAAAAAATATTAAATTTTAGTCATTACGACTATAGTAAACGCCATTGCACTGATAATAGATTTATAATGTGATAACTCTATTTAAATGAAACAAATCATCCAAAATTAGCTTTTTTAAACCATAAACGTGATCATCGGAGATCATTAAAATTTCATCATTGATAGTAAGATAGTAAATAGTCATATATCGTCATAAGATAATAATTTGAGATATATTTATTTATTTACTTGAATGCAAATATTAGTACAAACGGGCACTGAATACGTATGCTCCACTTACGTCACTTGATTTGTGAGTGGGCTGTGATACTGTTCGGGTGTCCAGACTGAAGCAGATGGTTTTCTTATGAGGCCAAACATGGAGCCTTCGACCTAAAAGTTTGATTCATAAGGCAGTGGGGCAACGTCAGGAGATGCAGTCTCATGGTAGTCAGTGACTAACAATTGGTTCACACGTCATTTGTTCTTTCAGGATACTGGATCTCATGTGCACGATTGGTTTGGAATCAGGGTTTTCCAACATCTTCCATATCCGCCAACCCGGTTAAAGCGTCGGACACTCGTTTCTCGTCCTCATAATTTCGTAAACAACATCTCGGCCTCGAGAATGCAGGGAGTAGAACTCCTCTGGCAGTGGTTATATACGCAATCGAGGTTATATATTATTCAAGTAGCTTTCCGAGGTCACACAGTCGAAATAATTTTTATCTTTTACTCGATGAATTATAGCTTTCAGAAACATGGTTTCATCATTATTTTTAACCGTAATGTATGATTTAACACACTGCAATAAGTTAATGACATTCCGTTTTATTCATTATATTAACTATATTATATTTTGTCTAACATTGTCGGTATCTTAACAGTAGGAAATGCTGATAGTCAAGTCAGAATCTAAGATCAAAAATCAATAGTTTGACATTTTTATTCATCGATATTTTATGAATAGGATATTCTAATGATCGATTCGCCTTAAATGAAGATATATATATATATCTTACAACATATACTAGATCGGTTACAACATATGTAATTAGATGATGAATGATCTTCAGTCTCCTGTCTTTTATTTACGCCTGTACATACTATTTTGATTTCTCTAAAGAATTTTCTTTTTACAGCTTTATTCATTCAATTTATTCTCTTACGCACTTTTCCGATCACTACAAACATGCATTAACATCAATTGAAGAAATGCGATGGTTATTGTTTGATCATAACTAAAATTATTATTATTTTTTAATGTGTATTTTGCATTCACGATACAGCGACATTCATTTCTAAATCACATTATAGAGAATAAAATGAGGATGAGACAGTTTTTTAGAGGCAAGCAAACACATTTAGTTAAATAAGGACATACATAATGTATACTGAAGACAAAATAAATCTAAAATATGGAAGGAAACAAAGTTTTTTTTAAAAAAAGAAATTCAATACATCCGATTTTTTAGTGTGTTTGTACGAATTTCTTGACGCACAAAATGTATGTTTTTATTGTCGATTTTTCGCACTGTAACAGAGCGTTTCCCCTCTTCTTCCTCCCCCCAAATCCTCTCATGTCATATAGTTAAATAGTGCAAGTAATTTTCGATAAAATATAGATATTTTAACTGTAAAATGTATATTAATAACAAGTTCTTAAAAAAATAATGACATTTCATCTTGGTTGTTTAAATCTTCCTGTTGACGGTTAGGACTTTAATTGACTAGTTAAATTCGGCATTTGTGCATCCTATACGAATTGCTTCGATATTGCCATAAAATACACGCATCATAAAAAGAGATGTATGGTTGGATACAAGACACACATCTCGTTCTATTTGCGATTCGTCAGCTGAATTTAACTGTACGTCGAGAGTTGGTGCTTACTGAAAAACTCTGGCTGACGAATTTCAAATGGGTTTGGACGCGCATCCTTGATTACAATGCTAGACATCATCCACCTCTGAATAGTTACATTTATTGTTGTTAACCATAAATGCTTATTAGCGGATATTGGTATTGTTAGGTTAACTAAATCATAGTGCAGCTGACTGAAAATACCTATTCTGTATTCCCAGTTGTTTAAATTTCACTTCAACAGATATCTGTGTTTAGCAAATTGCCAACAATCAATTATACTAAGAGTAACAAATATCACAGAAACCCTAGTTGGGTCATGGATTTACGTGGCTACAGATTATGATGTACCATATACGTTTGCTTTGCTATTAAATTATCTGAACTCCTTGGCGATTACTTATCTAATAAATTATGAAATCCGTTAAGAGTGAATGTTCCTTAATCATTATTCAATTTAATATATTACTATAAGCACACAGCAATATATTATTCTGAGTGAATTAATATCACGTAACTTTAATAACCAAAGTTTATATCTTTGTTTGATAAACTTTTAATGTGAACTTCTTAAATTATCTGAATTTCGAGATTGCTTCACAATCATAACTCCTGTTGCCCACTGATGGATATCATGAGAACCATTCTATCATAAAACTTTCACTTTATCTTCATAATGGTTACAAAGATAATATGAAATAAACACTGAAACTACTAAATTTGATTGATGTTTTGTTGCGAACTTATCGCCATATTATATGGTATATATCTTAATTTTGTTCAGGTTATGGAAGAAAATCAACCGAACTCTACAGTTGGTAGAATTGTAGCCATTGATAAAGATGCTAATCAAAATGGTAAAGTTAACTATAAAATACAATGGCCAAATCAACATAAGCAGTATAACAACTTGTTCATACTAACGGAACATGGAAAGTTAATTGCCACACAAAGTTTGGATAGGGAACGTGTCCCAAATGGATATAAATTTACGGTAAGTCACGTTAATTGTGCTAGGCTGAAGTAAATCATGCGTTTCATTGTCATATATTTCTATCTTTGTATTTATTAAATATCTATGTCAACCATATGGTTAACAATTGTTTCGCTTATGAACATGATAAGATGCCATAAACTATTTTGAGAAATAACTTAGATGGATCATATAAATTTCATGAATGTTTACCTATTCCATGTCATTTCATACAGGAAAAACCTAATTTTTGGAGTGTGCTTTCTTCGATAAATAATGCAAGCATTAAATGACCAGAAAGTCTAAAGCATTTAATCAATCACCCAAAAGCTTTGTTTACTAAGTACTCATTATCTTATTTGATTACTTACTTTCAAATATGTATACCTAACGGATGCATAAAACATTATAGGGATTTCCCATGTTTCACTATGTATTAAATATATTGGAAGAATTATCCATTATTCTTTATAATAATGTAAACAACATTATACTTAATCGTCCTGATAAAATTATTCTTCATCTAAGAACAGTGCTACAACACTCAGTTTTTAATTTTTAAAACAATATTAGACAAACGTTATAGACCAGAAAGCTCTGTATCTATGTGTGAAGCAGTTACCCATTTGTGACATCGAAGGATGGTTGTCAAATATTATAAATTTATTGGAGGTGGACATGAAAACTAATGATTGCTTGGCCATTTTTTTAAAAGATAAGTGCTTGTCATGAGACCTCAAAGTTCTGAATTCGATCCTTCGTGAGATCGTGGATGCACACTTCTGAGCACTCCCGTTGTAAAACAAATCGAATGTTCATTTCATGCAATTGGTTCCCTCCATGAATTTAAATAAAGCATGTCCATTGCTTTCTGCTATGCAAAGATCGATCTGTGACGAAAACTCTGAAATTAAACATTCTCCCAAAAGCTCATAAATTAATAATATTCCATAACACAATTATGATATAATTTATATTAGATTCAAATGAAATATTATCATAGCTTTAATTATATATTTAGTCAAATGACATTACAAAAAAACCTTGAATATATATGTTAGAGGGAGTATCAATCAATAAAAAAACACATCTAGTTTACTACTAACCAGGACTATCAACAAGAATGTACAACCTTTCAAGTATCCTACGTTTTCCAAAAAGTCAATATGATTTTCCATGATGAGTTATTGAAATCAATTTTATGGATATGACATAACCAAAGCATATGAATTTAAAACTTTACCAGTTAATTTTCATTATGAATAGCATTTTAATGGGCCAAGAACGATATTAATTGTAGAACACGATGAGTTTATTTCGCTTCTTTCTCTTCAGCTAAATATAAGCGTAATTTAGAACTTGAAAAGGCTAATTTTTCAGCAAAAACAGAATAAATATTCTAACAAGCATTTATCAATCCTTGAATTGATAGTTACGGAATACTCGTAATAATTTTATTACGTAACATCAATTGAAAGAAGAAATTAAAAAAAGTGAAAATACCTTTGTTCCAGGGACAGATAACATCTAACCGCTAATTTCTTTACATATACAAAGGTTGGGTTTAATCGAATAGTTACAATGGCTCCAGTGACTTGTTATATAATGTAATTAGGTTCTTAGTTGATTACATTATACATATTCATGACATGCTGTTAATATTCTTTCTTAAACTGTTTTGATAGTCAATCAATAAATAAAAACGCTCCAGTCATCAAACACACGAAACTAACTTTATTGTAGAATTTAGTTGTCTGATTCTTCTGATCTAAATGACAAAACATGCAAGTAAATAAATGAAAAATACTTTTAGTATGGTGGAAATTCATATTTGAGTAATTGGAAGAGAGGGGATTATAATAAAGGAAGTAAAGGATGATCGAGCACTTCCTACGCAACCTAATATATAAAAGGAGCTAACCAAAATTTTGATAGTAGTTCTGTATTATAGTAGTCATGCAAGAATCAAGATATAAATGTTGAGAATCTGTAAAAGAACAAACTTGAAAGAAATTAAAGACTGGTTTACATGTTTTTGAACGAAAAGATTCCATCAAAGTTCAGCCATAAACTTGATCCTATGCCGATGGTCAAGGTAGCGAAAGTTGTTGTACAAACTTCTTTTAGGTGCGAAAGTGACGTTTGTTAACATGTTTTTCGATAGCTTCAGAAAGATACTCTAGATAGACTCGTAAGGCATGAAGTAAATTTATCGGGACATGGTGGATAATTTTAAAAACTTTATTCAAATCAATTGAACGAACTGTGTCTACCAAGTGAGCGAGAATATAGAATTCCTAATCACTTTTACCTGTCCTTTGCTCAACCAAGACAGATAGCATTCTGCTGTGTGATGATGGACTTGGCGAATGGTATGCTTTATATATAACTGACTGCAAAGAAGCAGTTGAATTAGTAAATACACATGGATATGGAGAATTTAGGTAGTCTGCCTTTATTGATGGTCATTATAATGGAGCGGTTGTAGGAAACCACATTCACTAGAGCTGATGTAAATGTTTTCTGCACTGCCTGCCTTAACCTTTGAGTTACAATCTCTATGATAGAAACATTGAGAAACTGTAGTTTTAAGAACAGTGCTGTCTTCGGAACGGTAGAGAAATTTGGTCCTCTTTCAATCTCATTCATATTTTTTACTGATGAATTTAGTTTGATATACATTCTTACGAAGCAGCATATGAATATTCCTCAGTTCATCTACAATGGGGTTATCAGACCTAATCATTCTAGCACGATGAGTTAGGATCTTTACTAAGTATTTTTCGGTCTGACTGGTACAGCACTATAGAAAAGAAAACACCGTCCAATCTCAGACTTTCTATAAACAAGAGAAGGACAACTTAATATATTTTCACACTAAAAGAAGAGCAGAGTAATATCATATCGTTTTTAGGTGTCTAACTAACAAAAAGAGTACATGGAACATTAAAAATGTAGGATAGATAGAAAGTTTCTCATTCACTTTAACGCGACTACTGGGTGTGTTATTTCATTATTATTGTAAAACCATGATGAAACTTAATTGAAAAAAACTTTATAACTGGGTTTTCATCATGTTCTGCCTTTTATCAGTTCAGTTTACATATTTTACAAATAGAACATCAGAATTAAAAATCATAGATGTATAAACTTCAATCATTTGTAAATGACAAGTTTTCAGCGATAATTTCAATCAGTCTGAGGGTAACATGTAAATGTGAATTAAACACAATCACTATACGTATCGTGATGCTCAAAATATAGATTTTTGGTAAATTAAAGGAGCTTAATTAGTAAATAAAATTTATTTAAACAATGTAATATATGAGCTCATTACATTTTGAAAAACGTGATCACATATTTACAAAAGTGAAGTATTCTTATAAAAAACTAAAAGATCTAAACCAAAGAAACTGTGATCTAATAAAGTCAAGAATGATAGGGAAAACTAACATCATAGTAATACTGGTTGTACAATCTGAACTAAATATCGTCACGGTCGAATTATTCAAAATACCACTCAGATTAAAATTTTAACAAGTTATTGATGTATTATACATATTCAGCTCAATACATCACATGAGGTCGCTAATCTACGTCTACTTAAAGAACCATTAATACAGAACTACTAAGATCAGTGATCTGTAAGGAAGACAGTTTGGTTTACCAAGCAATTGCAGCTAGACAACCATTGTAAATCAGACAGCGCTATAGCAGTGGTTTTATCCTGTTTAAAATTTCTCAGTAAACCATCTCAAATACCTGAACAAGAATCGAACCTACCACTTTCAATTGCTCTCCCAAATAACAAGATCAGTTGTTTAATGTCATCCGTCTTTCAACGGTACTGTAAAATAACTATGATTTGTGTGAATAATCACAATAATTACTCCAACAGGTATAACGTAATTGATAAAATAATGTAAACAAAATAAGAGATTATAAAATTCAAAGTATCTCCGAGTGAAAATGTTGAATCAGTTTCATTTTCTACTTTGTCCTGCTTAATTTTGATTAATTACCAACCAGTATGCTCTAATTGTATGTAATTATTCAATTATGTGTATTATTTTTTGTTTTATACGTTTTTACAAATTGAAGTGACTCAATATCTTTTAATTTCCACATAGATTATCTATTTAATGATTAACAAATTAGTTTTTATGAGCTTTTCACTATCTCAAACATAATTCTATGGATTACTAAATAAGTGTTGAAATATTTGATGTGGTTACTCATTAAATCATAATTTCTCTCACGGTACATAACCCAAATGCATTCTCATTAATTACCTCACATTTTCTTAAATTAAAACTAAAATAAAATTTTGATTGAAATCATGAATCGATCAATTTAAGACTATCAAACAAAACTTGGAAGTACTGAAAGGCCTTTTCGTCCTAGTATGGAACTACTCAACAGTGTGCACCTATGATCCAGCAAGCGAGATTCGAACCCAACACCTTCGTTCTCGTGCAAGAATATTGTTCATCATCAACAATGATAGTAGTTTAATAGTTTTGACAACTATTTCAACTATATAATATAAATTTAATAGAATCCGGTAATACTATATATCTGATTAATAACATAGAGATATACATCTAACATTGATAAATGAATATAAATATTTTAGAAAAAAAAGATAATTTATTTCTGCTAGCTAGTGTTCAGCTTCGTCAGAAAATTCTCGGAGTTCTGGTGAAAAGCCGTGACCAGCGGAGCTAATCCGTGTAGGGTAGAGACAGGTATCTACCTCAGTACAATGGAAGATGGTCGTGCAATTTCGTGGATTGGTTAAGGCTAGACATTAACACCATTGGATGCCGTCTCGATGGTCCAGTAGGTTAAGCGTTCGGGTGCGAGACTGAAGGCCCTAAGTTCGAATCCTGCGAGCTGGATCGTGGATGCGCACTGCTGAGGAGTCCCACAAAAGGACGAGGCGGCCGTCCAATGCTTCCAGGTTTTCAATGGTGAATTAACATCAATCGGTTCATGATCTCAATCAAGAACTTAACAAT